GGAGAGCCGGGCTGGATCCTGGGAGGAATTTGGCTCCGGGTTCAACCTCGTCTCTGTTTTCAGTGGTGGTTCCCAAGCCAACAGCGGGCTCTGGGTTATCCGGCTCTCTTGATGGTTCATCCAACTGCAGGGTATCGCCAAGGGAGCGCTGGCATCTCCCTACATGCGTTGGTGTCCTGGATTGTGTTATGATGACCTGGGCTGCTCGCGGGAGAATGGAGCCGTTTGGATGAATTAATTGTTGGACCTCTGGCAATGGGTGCTGACCCTGGTGAGGTCAGTGGGAATTTTCCTGTTTGATTCATCACAGCAAGAATTTAATCTCCCAAGGAGGACTTTTCCCTGGCTCTGACCAACGCCTCGGCTAGTTGGCATAGCTCGCTCGTTACGTCATTGTTTTCTTGCTTTCACAGAAATGATTGACCCAGAGAGAAATATTTTACCTGGAAAGGGAGACAGAGAGCTAACTGACGAAGGCAGAGGGGTGTCAAAATTTCATGCTGAAAAAACACAGAAAGGCTGAGAGTGCATCTGGCCAGCTAATGGATTTAGGCTGATGCAACTCATAGTCAGAAAGCTGTTAGGTGCGAATAGGCTAATTGCTTTGGGATTATTGCTGGGTGATTACAGAAGAAAGGAGGAACATCAGAAATACAGTCCATAAAAGAGGGGAGATTTAGATGAGATGTTAGGAAGAAATTTTTTCCTGATGTGGATGCCCCATCCCTGGAGGGGTTCAAGGCCAGGCTGGATGAGGCTTTGAGCAACCTGGGCTAGTGGGAGGTGTCCCTGCCCATGGCAGGGGGTTGGATCTAGATGATCTTTAAGGTACCTTCCAACCCAAACCATTCTAGGATTCCATGATTCTATGTTTAAAAAAAGCAAACCTGGGCTCTTCCTTGGTCCTGCTGTGTTGTGGAAGAGGGATGAACCTGGGACAGCCCTTCTGGGTTTTACATTTTCTGGTCTAGGTGAGGCAGGTATTGCTGATGGACAACACGTTCCTGCTATGGAACCCCATGGCAAAGGGGTCTGTACGCATGTGGGGAATCCCTGCTCCCTTTCTGTGCCTTATGTCTCGTGCCAGCCCTTCCCAGTGGCTGTAAGAACCTGGCACAGCCTGGAAAAGAAGAGTAGCATGGGGCTTGCCTGGGAAACACAGACTTTTGTTTCAACCCAGGTAGCTTTGCACCAAAAGTGATGAAAAAAAGGCTGCCCCATTGCAACTGTTTTCTCTGTGAAATAAGGAGACAGAGCCACCCTGCTCTGCTGGGAAGGTGTGGGCTGCTGTGTTCACCCCTGGTTAGTGGGAGAGCGTGCATCCCACCACCAGCAGCTTTGCTGAGCATCAGCAGGAGTCACGGACTGGCACTTGCTGTTCTGTTAAACTTCAGGTTTATTGCTTTCAGGTAAGGAGAAAGGCAATTTCTCACCTGTGCATGACAGGTAACAACCAGATGCCAAAAGAGGCAATATATAGTCTGAGTAGCCCCAATGTCTTCTTGTCACAGTGTTACCTAGAAAGTCACAGCAAAAGCAAAAAGCGATATATTCAGAAGTTCATGAGTGAATCCACAGCCATATTCTCCCACCAGTTCATTCCTTGTTAGTGGAGCCTGCAGCTCTCCATGTGCTGCAGTTTTCTCCTTTGGAAATCTTCAGCTCTTTGCAGTAGTAGGTGACAAACTTTTACAGCAGAGAATGATGGGTTCAAAGCAGTAGCTAACCAGATATTCCCCAGAAACGCAGTTTCCGACTCGGCACAAGCCCCCTTCATGGTTACAGCTGTCTGGTCCTTGAGCATCGCCTGTACAAAGAAGGAGCAAAGTATTGAAGCTTCCCCTGGCACCGTGTGTCCGTCCAGGCAAGCCAGCACTGCGAATGTGCATGCAGCCTGGGTGTACATAGCTGCAAAAGTACACCCGGGATCCCTGTCCCAAAGGACAGCTTCCAACATCTGTGTTAAAAACCCCAAGTTGCAGATCCAGCCTCTCTCAAGGAACATTTTATCCTATGGTTGTTTTTTCAGGATGTTGCCAAAGACCATGCACGGGAGGTCAGAGTGGTTGTCCTCTCCCTACCAAGAAAGTAACTACAGCCCAAGAAAAGGCAGAAACATTTTCCCAGAGCACAGGACATCTCTAGGGTTTCTCCAACCAGCCTGCTCCTACAAAGGCAGTGAGGTGCCCCATTTTCACAACTTCTTCCCTGCTCCTTTTTTCCATTACCCCAAGGGATTAAATCACACATTTTGCCAAAGGATCTCACCCACTATCTCATCCAGAAACCTGAGGACACCTTTCCTCAGTACCTATAATATTTTGATTTGATTACACAGTGAGGAAAGATTGTTCCTGTTCCCAGATACCTCTGTTTACCACCCTCGACCTTCCTGGTCTTACCGTGACCGGTCAGGGAGATGAAGATTAAAATGAACCAAAGGATCCCCATCGCTTTGGTTCTGCTGGCAAATCTCAGAGCTGAGCGTGAGGTTTTGCAGAAGCCTTCGTGTCCTGCTGGCATGCTGGATGGCATCCGGGAAGAGGGAGGGAGTAGGCAGGAGTTAATATTCCAGTTTCAGGAGTAACATTTGCTGCTGAGAAACCCTCTGTGTCGTTCTGACCCAGTGCTGCGGCTCCAAACAATGTCGACTTGCTTCATGTGTGCTGGTTATTGGCTTCCATGATTCCTCTCGCCGGCAGTTGGCATTTTGGACTGGTGGTTTGCCAGCTGCAGACAGTTTGGTGAAAAAAAGAGACTCGGGGGGATCCTCTGCCCTTCAGTCCCTGGGGAGCTGGTGGGTGGGAGGGTGACAACCTGCAAGGAAAGGCTCCCGAGCAACTGCAAGGAGGAGAACTGTGTAGGTTAGGAGTGATTCATTTTTCATCTGAGCGCATGTGAATATTTTCTCCAGCTGAAACCTGGGTGTGGGTTTTTTTTTTTTCCGTGCCAAAAAGGCTATTCCAGCTTTGGCTTCTGAGGAATTTGGGAGGCTTCATTCCTGAGCATGATGAGCACACAGTGCTGGTGGAGGAGGTAGCCGGGTAGCTCAGCAATGCACGGCTTGGTGGTAATTATCTGATAGGTATGCAGCTCTTGTTGTAAAACCAGCCTGTGATATTCCAGCAACCCTTGCCTGGCTGCTGCCCCCGCCTAGTCCTCCTGTTTGCTGGCCCTTCAGCTGTGTTATGTTTGTGTGAACACATCCTGAACTGGATAGTTGAAAGATTGAGGCTAAAAATTTCCTTCTCCCTCAAAAAATGTAGTTCAGATGAATTTAACAGTCGGTTTGTTGTCCTGGGTCAGCAGGCATAAAAAGTTTTATTTATGTCCCTTGAGATGCTTAGGTATTGGGGAGTTCTGGGTGAGCAACAGGACTCTGGAAGCCCAGCATGATACCTTGGGTCATCTCAAGTGACACCAAGGTCCAGCCACGGGCAACTGAGTCTGGCCTTAAAACCAAGAAGGACAAAAGAAAGATTTTTTCTTTATGCTCAGATAAGCTAAAGCATCTTCTTCAAAGGCTGACCAGTCCTGATCCAGGGCAGTCAGGTGCTGGCAAACCCCTCATTTTCCTTGTCCACATATTAATCTGATTACTTTTACTCCATGGTCACCTGCTGGATCAGGAGGTCCAACCACCCTCTTGGAGTGAGAATTAGTCCCTTAGGATTGGGACTGTTCCCTTGAGTCTAGAGCAAGGGGCTGGTCTGGGACCTTTACACACCTATTTGCACATCACAGGGTTTGGACTTGCCCCTCTGGGCTAAGTGGCGGGCAAACCTGCAAGGCAGGTCAGGCAAAAGAGCTCATGGCTATGGACCATTTTGTGCTAGAGAGATACTGATCTCAGAGGAACAGCAGTCATATGCCTGCTGCAGTCTGATAATAATTTCCAGGTGGCTCTGCTCAGGTTTTGCAAAGGAGAGAATTTTTCTACCTCCTATCCTCAGGTCATTTTTTGGAACTTTTTTTTTTTTCAGTGTATTTCCATTTCAACAGAGGGGTGTGGGCTCGATTTTACCTTGCAGACCCCTCCACAAGCAACATTACTCCCCTCTCCTCATCCTCTTCGAGCTCTATAACTGATGACAAAGCTTGGCTGGTCCCACAGGTCATTGTGTGCTGTATCCTCTGGAACAGGTTGCCCAGAGAAGCTGTGGATGCCCCATCCCTGGAGGGGTTCAAGGCCAGGCTGGATGAGGCTTTGAGCAACCTGGGCTGGTGGGAGGTGTCCCTGCCCATGGCAGGGGGTGGAACTACGTGATCTTTAAAGTCCCTTCCAACCCAAACCATCCTGTGATTCTGTGATCTCCCTTGTGTGAGGGTGAGATGTACCCTCTGTTGAAAGGGTAGTAGGACTGTCTGCTGCTCCTTGCTGTCTCTGGGACTGGACAGAACAGACTATTTCAGCTGGAAGGGACCTACAACGATCATCTAGTCCAACTGCCTGAGCAGTTCAGGGCTGACCAAGTTGAAGCGTGTTATTAAGGGCATTGTCCAAATGCCTCTTGAACACTGAGAGGCTTGGGGCATCAACCACTTCTCTAGGTGTTCTAGTGTTTGACCACCCTCTTGGTAAAGAAACGCCTCCTAATGTCCAGTCTAAACCTCCTCTGGTGCAGCTTTGAAGGACAGGAAGGAAGGAAGGAAGACAGAAAAGGGAGGGAGGTGAGGTTTGGATTCTCATAATCTTATAATTCTCATAATAATTCTCTTGGGATGTGGTTTGCAAAGACATTACAGCAAAGTTCCTGTGGATTTCTGTGTATGGGTGTGATAGAGAGACATTCTGCCTGTTTCCATACATATACAGCAGTTATACCTGTTTATTTAGTATTTATTGCCTTTGTTATATAAAGAAACCTGTGACCTCTAGTTAATTACGCACTTCACATGTTGAGAAAACCAGACATCTTCTCTACAACACTAGGAAGACAACCTGGTTGTTTTCTCCTCCATGCATTTCTGTGGTTTTCTGCAATTCCGTGGATTTTTTATTACACTTCTGTGCAGCACTTCCATTCTCTGTGAGGGCAAAGTCCCTCTTGTTCTTGCAGACAATTGATTTCTGGAGGTACACAATGACCTCCCTCGTCTTGACAAGTATGGAAGTTTGATGTCGTGTCTGGAATGAAAAAGGTTTTACATCAAAACAGAAGACATTCTGCCACCACCTGAAGGAACTCATACATGGAAAATGTCATTAAGTTCTGGTTATTGTGTCTCCAAAAAGCAAAGAGAGAAAGAAGGACTATGGGGGTCATCAGAGCACTTCTGCAAAAAAGAGGAATTTGTGACCTACCAACCTGGAAAAGAAAAAAACCTGAAGGAGGAATATCGTAAAGGTATGAAGAAGGTGAATGCAGAATGACTACATTTCGTTTGCAGTACAGAAGTAGGTGGCACTGAATAAAATTATGAGCTTAAGAGGTTTTTTTAAAAAAACAGAAGGAATTCCAAATCAAAGGGGGGAAAATCTAGTAAGGACTTTTAAACACAAAATGCTTATGTCTAAAAGCCCTGAGCTGCAAATTTGTGAAAGCCAGGAGAATATATACAGAAGTGTAACGGTACGGTTGTGGTGTTCATTAGCAGTCATTTTACACACACAGATTAACTGTACAGAAACATCCATTTCTGGTCACGGATAGATACGGGATGCTGGATCCAATGAAACTCAGGTTCGATTAGCACAGTTGGCTATAAAGTGTGTATTGACTTAATGCTACACGTTGACTATTAAGGAGCTCCAAAAACAAGCAAGCCCGGAGAGGATTAGACAAATTTACAGAGAAGAGGTCAGCTGACACCTCTTAAACAGTGTGGATGCAGTTAGCAGTCCCCCAACAGATGTTTATAGGAAGATACATCCAAGAAGGAGGACACTGTGTGGGCCACAATCTTTATTTTCTTTCTCTGGGCATCTGTTCTGTTGGAGAGAGGACGCTGGTCTACGTGGTAGCTGGCCAGCCCAAAATGACAATTCTGGTCCTGTGCTCCATGCTGCCATTAACAGAAGAATAGCCAGGTCCGTCTTTGTAGATTGGAGGAGGTGGCTTAGGCCATTTGGAGACAGAGTAAGAGTATATTTTGCTGACTTTAGCAACCTCCTCTCCAAACATCGCCTGCCTGGGCAAGGTTTCCACACTTACCTATGCAGCAGGTCTTCTGACGCCAAGAGCAAGTCCCAAACGCGGCAAACGGCTCTGGACAGGATTTTGAATGGTAGCAGAAACCGTGGTATCCAACACAACGTAAAGTGTCTTTGGGCAAGCCAAGACCTACAGGGAGAATGTGATGCCCAGCTGTGCTGCAGGATCAGTCCATTTCTCAT